TAACAGATCAGGTTGGCTGATCTCCTACGTAGGGCTTTAAACTAGGTTCATTGGGGAATGTGGATGCAAAGGGCAAAGAGAACCTAGGATCAGCGAGCCATGCACTGGATCAGCCCAGGTAAGTACTAAGGGGCCAGACAGGCATCAGGGCTGGTAAGTCTGTTGTGGAGAAAGGGACATGGGGGAGGGAAGGGGCATGGTGGGGGGCAGATTCAGGGTCCCACAGTGAGGGAGGGAGTAGGGCTGGGGGAGGGGCAGCAGCAGGTGCTGTACACCAGGGTGGGGCATGGGACGGAGCTGCGAGTGGCTCATCGGGGGCAGGGGGGGGCAGCTCCCACTCCTGTGCGCACCCCAGGAGGGCATGGGGGGCATGTGCCCCTGGATCTGCATGCAGGATGAGGGCGGGCTACTGCTGTGGGCTGGGGCAGTGCTGCGCTCTTCCCAGCAGGGGGCCAGGCCAGGCTGCACTTGGGGTGGAAGGTGGCACCACTGGGAGGGGAACTACGGCGGTGGCGGGCACTGCAGCCACTCCAAAATTTGCCGTAGCCTCCACTCTGAGCACCACAGCCACCCACCCTGAGAGCAGCCCTGGCCCAAGCCCCCTGCCCAGAAGAGCCCAGCACCACCCCAGGCCCCATCCCACAGCAGCAGCCCTCCCTCTCTGTGTGCATAGATTCAGGGGCACATGCCCCCTCATGCCCTCCTGTGTGTGCAGGAGTGGGAGCTACCACCCCCAGCCGAGCTGCCTGCTGCTCTGTCCAGCACCCTGCTCTGACTGTCAAGTACCTGCCCCTGCCCCACTCCCACTTCCTCCCTCACCTCTGGGGCCTCAATCTCCCCGCACCCCTTCCCTCACAGCAGACTTACCAGCCGGACCTAGCTGCACTCCTGGCCACCCGCGTGCTGTGCTGCACGAGGCATTTATCAGTGACATTGGCTACATCAGCCCAAAAATGCTGATTGCCAATAGTGTCAATTTTCCTTATATCGGTGCCGATCCGATATGGGACCAACGTATCAGAGCACCTCTAACAAAAACTAGTGCTATGTATCTCTGATTTAGTTAGTCTATAGAGCAGGATTTAAGGCAGTGATTCTTAACCAAGGTGCTGCCAGATCCTTTGAAGGGTGCCATGGGGTGTGAGGAGATAAGTCAGGTGCAAAGAGATGAGTAGTTAAGCACAGGCTCAGTCTTGTCCCTGCCTAGATGATCGCCTTCTCCCACTATGTGGCTCTGTTTGTAAGAATTGTGATATATAAATTAGTTTTTGAAATTAGATGCCACTCAGCTTACAAAAGGTATGTAAGGGAGCCTTGAGTCTGTAGAGGGGTTGCCTTGAGTCAAAAAACTAAAAGATTGAGAACCACTGATTTAAGGCATTGTTCTAATTGGGCCAGGCCCTCCGAACAATGGGAGAAACTAGTACAAATAGACTAGTGCTGCATTCTTCACAGTTTTAAATTGCATGTTCAGTTTTTACTGTAGTCAGGAGATCACCATCTGTCTCCCCTAACCTTGGCAACATTACAGGGGCATATTTTTCACATGAATGAAATGTTCTTGAATAATTTATCTAACTATCTTGGGCACAAACAGGCTTTTCTTCCAGGTCTGGAATGAATGTTCTCATCAACTAACATTTATTGCACTGTGAATTCCTATGCCGGATTCATGTTTGACTTTCTCTGAGTAGGTCTGATAATATCTAGGGGTAGTTTGAGCAGTAATATAAGATCTTGCTTTTTTGCTTTGTTTTGTGTATTTCAGGTCCTTTTCTTAAGGCTTCAATTTTAATAAAGTAACCACAGTAAAGTTTCTATACTGAAAGTTAAAGTTATATTTTTTTCTGGAGAAATGAGTGTAGCCATGGCTCTTGCTGGATACATTCTGGTATCAGTGTGGTTAAACATCTCTCTGTCAGCAATGCCTAATGTTATAAAAGCCATGCATATTTCCAGATAATTATATTATTAAATTAATATAAAGGATATTTTGCCTCTTTTCAACACCCTTGGAAGCTTTACATATGATAGCAGGATATGGGAAAGTCATGTAATTAATAATTAAGATATTAATTGGTTAACAGAAAGCTTAAAATGAAGAATGTACTTTGTGACAGGTGGAAAAATGTTGATGTATGATATTAGGAGGTCTATGTCACAGGAAATTTTGAGTTAAATATTTCCTTTTTTTAGTTTTGAATAGTGAAATTAGCTTTCTAAAGATGTGTACCTGACATACAAGCCTTGTTGAATCCCAGTGAGCATTTGTAGTCTTTAGCTGCCAGGAGAAGATTGCTGCTTTAACGTAAACTTCTTGACAGTAGTCTTTTGTGGGGAGAGTGCTATACAAGTACTTTCAAATGACAAAGATCCTAACTTTAGACTTTTATTAAAAATAGCTTCTAATATAAGAGCTGCTTAAACTGTTTAAGAGAGAAATAGCATTTTGATTTGCCAATGTGATCACGGAGAGAACAACATTGAATTATTGTCACAGGGCTATAGCATTTATTTAAAAGAATAAATGCAGAAAAGAATATATCCAAAGGCATGTCAAATGACACTTTTCCAATTTATTAATGCAAGTAATCTTGTTGACATAACTAAAGCAAGCAAGATGCATTTGATAATGTATTAACTGTGTAATTACAGTACCTTAATTGTACTCAAGTGAGAAGATGTTATGTTGCATTGTAATTACTAATTTATGAATATATTTTGAAATGTTTGTAGGTTACTTTTAATCTTACAGTGCCCAATCCTGGAAATCTAATCATGCGAGTAGTCCTATTAATTCCAGTAGGACTACCTGCCTCAGTCTGGTTTTTGTAAGCAAGTAACAGTAATAAGGATTTGGTATTCTTGTTGAAAAACTCTTCAGGGCAGAGGATATGTTTAAACTGTATTCTGGAAATACCGTGTAAATTTATGACCCTGTATAACTACTTTATAACAGCAATGTCAGTGACACAGTAGCAAAATATCTAGCCCAAAAGCATATTTGAACACATTAATTTTATTCAGTGTAAGAAAAACTAATTACTGAATACACTAAATAACCTGTTAGTCATAAAAACCATTTGAGAAAGTTCTTGCACAGCCCAATTTGGGTGTTCATACGTGTGCTCTCGGGGTGGGGGGAGAGCCACTCTAATTTCAAGTGCCCAAAGAGTTTTGTGTATCGGCATCCCTGCACTTCAAAATGGTGGCAGGGGTGCTTTATCTAAAGCTCATCAAAAGGAGCTTTAGATAAAGCACCCCACCACCACTTTGAAGTGTGGGAACACTGATATATGAGGTCCTAGAGGCTGCTGAAATGCGGTAATTGCCATGCTCCAGCTGACTTACTATAATTATAACACGTTGGAGCAGCCTGCCTGCTTGTGTATAGGTACCCCTTGTAACCAGACTTTAGTCTGCTTGGACAGCCATGTCAGATTCTAATGCAGAAAGAGAGAAATCAGTTCCAGATCATATAAATGATTGACTTTTGTGTTAACAGGAATTTAGAAAAATTGGCAGCATTGATGAATGGATTGACCCTCCTTCTTCGCTCCAGATGACTAGCACTTTAGCTCAGAAAGGTATGTTGATCTCTTCTGTTGCTAAAATCCAGAAGGATTTAACATACACTTTAAACTCTTTCTTCTCTGGACTGCCACGCTTGGAGTACACCTTATTTCAATACTTATTTGGGAGAGGTGCACTGATACATCAGCCCATATCGTATCAGCACCTATTAAAAGGAAAATTGACCTTATCAGCAATCAGCTTTTTTTGAGTGATGTGAGCAATAATGTTGCTGATTAAAATGCTGCGTGCATGTGCACAGCCACAGCATGCATGAGGCCAGGAGTGCAGGCTGGAAGCTTGGAGAGCAGAGTCCAGCATGTAAGTCTGTGGGCAAAAGGAGGTGTAGGGGAGGGAAGGGACATGGGGGACCAGATCGAGGCCCCTGTAGTGAGTGGGGCTGGGGAAAGGGCAAGCATTGCCCGTTGGGGGTGTGGCACAGGACAGTGCTGTGGCTCATCTGGAGGGCCTGGAAGTGGGTGGGACAGCCTTCACCACAGCATACACTCCTGGAGGAGTCTTGGGGGACATATCCCCCTGGATCTGTGTGTGGGGAAAGGGTGGGCTGGGGCCAGAGGCTGTGTTGGGATCTGATGCCAGGTCCAAACAGTCGTGCTGTCTCCATGTCACTTGTGTGATTGTGGGATCCCACATCAGATCCAATGGCACCATATTGCCAGTGCAGAAGGAGCCCAATCTTGGACTTCCCCTGCACCAGCAAGTAGCAAGCTTTGGATTTCTGCTTGCCTTTGGCTGGGAGCCCTGATTGGCTGAGGAGCGCTCCGAGTCTCTGGAGCCCACAGGAGTCTTGAAAAACTTCAGTGTGCTCCAGAGTCTGGGCACTGGCCAGAAGTTCAATTAAAGGTGTGATAGGAAGCAGTCACAGAGTTATTGCATATAGTTTGTGTAATAACTTTGTGCTTATTCCTCATTTTATCACACCATTAATTGAATGAATGTGTGACCAATTCACTACTTAAGACTTGATTAACCAGATGTAAGCATTCAGTTGTGATTAACCAGCTAAGTGTTCAATGGTGATTAACCCTATTGAGTGTAACATCTGTTAGGGGCATAAGGTTATGCCTGTACAGCATAGTGGATTGTTGTATAAAGGTACCTGAGTTAGTTCTAAATGGGCTGGCTCAGGTACTGAAAGCTATCAAGCTATGTTAATGTTGTGCTTTGCCCAGGTATATTACTTGCTTTTTCTCAGTTCAGAACTAGCTCTGGTAGTCTCTTCATGCATTGAGCCATGAAGAGACATACCATAAGAAAAGTTAATTCAAGTTGGCTTAAGTATGAAAACAGACAATTTCATAAATATGAAACTTGCTGATGAGCCATAAAGAAAGGTGGGTGGCTGTGATCATGCATGTGAATAATGCAGTGCCACAGCTTTTTGGTGCTATTGCAGTGTCTGGTTTTACTTATTGTTTCTTGAATAATCTGAAAGTGTATGCTTAAACCAAAGCATCAATGACCTCCACCTGCTAACTGGGAAAGAGTTGTAGGGGGATGGGAAGATAGAGTGAAACACAAAAGAACATAAATGTTTTAGAGGTCAGAATTAGTTTTTGAAAGTTCAAGCTAATAATGTGACTTGTTAGTGCAGTATGAGACACAAAATGCTGGGGTAATCTTGGGTTGCCTACTGAAAGAGACATGTGACATCATATAAAATATTTACTTAGCTGCTCTTTTGGATCTTGATTTTAAGTGAGAGTGTTAAAGAAACGTGGATCTGCAACTAATTTTTTATGGAAAAAGATATTATCCTTGTGATCTGTTGTCGTCTAAAATACATGTACTTAGTAAGCAGAGAAAAATAAACTAGAAGAGATTCTTTTTTGCCTTTAAAATAAGCTATATAAACTGAAGCTTTGTGTCTCTCTCAGATGTCGTCTGTTACTGAAAATGGAGATGCCACAGCCGGAAAACCAAACGAGGAAAAAACTTATAAAAAGGTAAAAATGCTAGTAACTCTTTCCCAAAACTATTTTATCTTCATACTACCTAGGTATTATATATTGATATATAGATACTATCAGTCAAACAAAATGACCAAACAAAGAAACAAACAAAAGGTGTGCTGCTGTTCAAGTGTGCGTATTTTATATCTTTTGGGAAGTGTACAAAGTATTTATATGCAGTAAAGGTGACTCTTGAAAGCTAATTCAATAAAAGTTTTCCTTTTAAAATAGACCTTGCTAGACACAGAATTTTCCAAGATATAACAACAGAAATCTCTCATCATAAACATTGTTGTCAGAAAAATCTAGTACAGCAAGTTCTCTAATACTTTGAATAATTATACCATGCATCTTGACTACAAAATATTTTTCCCCCATTACCCTCCATTAATATTTTGCTGAAGGTGTAGGTTTTTTGTTTGTTTGTTTTTTTTGTTAAGGTAACTTTGTTTAATCAATGATGTGTCTTTAATTCTTTCTTATGATAATACATATGGGGTGGATGCTATAAGGGCATTACAGAGCAAGGTAGTATAGTTTAGGGGTTCTGTGTGGTATATTTTTGCCATTACCCTTTTACCTTTGATTCTCTGAGGTTGACAGTAAGATTCCCATTGGCACAAGTGGTGTCTAACAATAAACTTTTAAAGTAATGATTTAAAAAGGGTGGGGGGAGAACCTTGTTTCTGAAGTGAACAAATGCTTGCCTGCTAGTTATAATTCTTTCTTTCCGGTTATTAGGGAGAAGCAGTCTTTGATACATGTGTACAGCATCTAGCACAGTGTTGTTGTTGCTTCTCTCAGACCTTTACAAATGACTTTTAATTATAGTGGGAAATAGTCCAGGGATGACTGCAAGTATCTTTGTAACTTGGCAATCAGGACTTGTAGCAGAGATGATATCTTTTATTAGACCAATAAGCTTTTTGCAAAAAAAAATCTTTCATTGAAAGCTTTCGGCACAGACACCCTTCATCAGGCATTGGAGGAAAGATTGTAAAAGTTCTCTTGGGTAGAAATGAAAGTTCATGTTTCAGAGGATTTTACAGAGGAGTCAATAGATGGAAAACTCCCCTGCGCAGTCAGTTCATAGTTGGTATGGAGCCTCTCATGTCCTGTGAGGATCTGTGATGATGCAAATTACCTTGAAGCAAAGGCAGGAACAGGATTTCAGGATTTGTAACTTGGAGCCTTTACATGTTTTTGTTTTTTTTAGCTGAAGGTAAATCTTAAGGTATAGAGTAAGTTGTCCACAAACTTCTTGAGGCTTTTAGGCACGACTCTGACTTGGAAGTAAAACTACTAAAGTCTTTTAATGTTTTGGATACATAAGGAAGAATTATCTCCCTCCCTCTTTTCCTCAAATGCTATCAGTGGGCTACCTTTGTTCCAGAGCAGGGCTGTCCACTTCTAAGTGTCTGAGGGCTACACTAGCAGCGGCCACACTGCCATGGGCTGTATGCCCTCTGTTTCCCCTGAGCCACGTGCCTTCCCACTGTACCCTGTGGCCAGGTGCCCACCCTACTATTCCACCCCATGTCCCTCCACTGCACTGGGTGCAAGGTGCACCCCTCCCACCATCACTGCACTGTCTGGGTCCACCCCTCCCCTGCACTATGCGCCTGGACATTGCTGCTGCTACACCCTATGCCCTCATGCCCAGGCACCCTGATTTACCCTTACCTAATTTATCTTGGCTTTGTTGTGCTGCACCAGTCAGGTACACCAAGCTGCTGCCCCCTGACCCCTACCCCCAGCACTGCAGGCTTTGCTATGCTGTGCTACACTGTGTGCTGCACCACCCTGCCCCCTGGGGCAGGGGCAGGAAGAAGGAACCAGGGAGGGGGAGCCCCCAGTTGCTGCTGCAGCCAAAGCAATGTGGGGAACAGTGACTGGCTGGGAGCCTGGAGACTACGGGCATGTGTAGGTGAAATGGGGGGCCTAAATTGGAGCAGTGGATTTTTAAAAAAACATCACTTCAATTTAGGGCCCTTTAAAACCATGTGTCATGCACACGCCCGCACACACTTACTTGCTTCTCTGGCGGCAGGGAGGGGAGGGTGAGCTCCTGGCAGGCAGAGCGGTCCCTGAGCTGCAGGGTGAGAGGGGGCTGGTGGTTCACCCTGCAGCAGCGGTGGGCCCCTCCAGACAGCATCCGCCTGCAGGCACCTGGCTCAGGCAATCCTGGTGGGCACTGCAGCTGTAGAGGGAAGCACTGGGCCCCTGCGCAGCTCAAGCAGGCAGGCAGTCTCTGGGAGGGAGGGGGGAAAATCTGGGCTGCTGCCAGGCTGCCTGCAGGGCTCCCTGCAGAGCCCCTGAGCTGCACGGAGCCTGGTGCTTCGCTTCATGGCTGTAGAGGCAGCAAACTAAAACTGTTTGGAGTTTAGTATGCTGCACCCAAGTCATTTAAGGCGCATTACGCTGCTGAATTTGCTACAGTGGCTGGAATTAATGCACAATATGCTGCCGATGCTTGCAAACACCGACACCATTAAAATAGTGCAAAAGCATTTAGCTCACTTTAAAGTGTCGTGCACACGCGCCTCGTTTCATCTACACACAGCCTGTATGTGGTTTTCAGGCTGCCAGTTGGACAGCCCTGCTTTAGAGTAAGTCCACCTACAGCAAGGGTGCAAACTGGTGGTAAAATTCTAAGTGGGCAGGGGTGGACTTGAGATGTACTGTCATATCTGACTAGGGAGTTCCAATAGGATTTGAAATGCCCTCTCCCAGAGTTGAATCCTCCTACAACACAGCTAAGCCTGCCTCTGGGGCATCTATGTCCCTATACAGGTAAGTGCAAGTGCTGTGCTAAAACAGGTACAAAAATTACTTTATAGAAATGTAACACCATATATGTCCTCCTTGCAGATAAGGACTTAGGGGATAGTGACTCTTTGTGTTTCAAATGACAAAATTAAAGCCAAACCTCAAGAACCTATTTGGCTCTGACCCTAAGAAATCAAAGGACCTGCAACTTTATTGCAGCTTTATTCATGGCTTGAGTTTCATACTTAATATTTAGAAGGAAAAAGTACTTTCATCACAAATACATTTGGTTTGTGTCTGTGTAGTTATATTTTGCTTCATAGTATATTGTATCTTGTAGGGTTTGGTTTCTGACAGCACTACACAGCAACTAGATTATACTGTATAGAAGTTTAGTCATATTTATCTAAAGTATAGACAAAAGGGGGAAATGATGCATGGAAAATTTCTACTTGTGATGTGAAATCCAGTGACCCATACGACAGAGTGAGGTGATATAAAAGTCTGAGCCTTAATGGTATTTTCCATGTGCCACAGCTTTAATAGTCAAATCCCTCTTATGAAACAATAATTTTTAACTATGTGTTTACTAACTAAGTTATGTAAATGGTTCCTGCTTAGAAGGTATATTGGAAAAGAATGTTGCAACGGATGTCAAAACTAATCACAAATACTTTGCATTTTCTGTGAAAGTTAGTGGGTTTATTATGTAAATAGAAACTAAACAGTTTGCCTGCCTTTTACAGTGTAGAGTCATTTCCCTGACCCAGAGATGGGTTATGATTTTTTAACATTCTCTTATTGCTAGAGAAGTAAATATTTTCTTAATGGTTATTTAAAAGAGAAACCTTCAGTTTTCTAAACAGGGAAATAACTCTTTAGTACTCTTCCTTCTAAGAGCTTGCTCTTAATTCTAAAAACTTGGATAAGTGATGTAGGCAAGCTTTAGAAATTAGTATTACAAACTGTATACTTGAACTAATTAATCATATCCCAGGGAGATGGATTCAGCCACGGCTCCCAATCTGCCTTGGGAGCTGGCAGGAAGTTGCCAGCAGCTGATAGGAGAGGGAGTGGGCAAGGCTACAAAAAGCCCGTGAAAATGATAAACAGGACAATGGATTGAACCCCCCAGGCTGCTTTGGGGGCTAGCAGGAGGAGAAGTAGGAAAGAGGAGCCCTGGTTGAACACAGCTCCCTGGATTTGGTTTTCCTGGGCTTGGAGTAGCCCCACACCTGTCTGCTTAATCCTTCACAATCCAGGGGCAGGGGTTACATTCATATAGGCTGTCTATCTGTCTGTACAAATATATATCTGTGGTAGTGGATCAAGCATTAATACTGTTGAGTGAAAGTTTTGATCATAAACTCCAACTATGTTTCATCTGATTTTTCTCAGAGTAAGCTGCTTCTTCCTTTTACAAGATTTGTACCTAATTCAGAATCAAACTTGTTGGTGAAGTGTTTGGTTAATTTGACCAGATAGTTTTGGGTTGTTTTTACCTTTTAAAAATTCTCATAAAGCTTTTGTGTTTGACTTTATTTGTTTGTGGTAAAATGCACTCAACAGCATCTCTATTTTAATTAATCAAATTTGCTTTTCAGATTATTTCCCGAAGTAATAACACATTGACCCATTTTTCCAGGGTGAGTGCATACTTGTCTCTTACCAGCTGTATAAATTTGAACTTCAGGAAACTCCAGGGAAAGTTATCTAAGATGATTAAAAACAGATGAGAACTTTTGAATAAGCAGTGCCAAGGCATCCCTAGAGCTTGTATGATCCCTGAAACATAGCTAGAACAAGAGACAGTGATAATTCTTGCTTTTGAGTCAGTTTTGTTAATCAACGTCTGACTTCCATAAAAATTTCTTCTCCCACTGAAAGTTGACAGCATTGTACTCTTCTCTAGTTTGTTGCCCAGAGACCACATGTTTCAAACTTCAGTGGAAGATGACATTTTTCAGAGTTAGAAGTTGATTTATAAAAATGACTCAAAACAAGAATTGTCACAGGTAGGGTAACTAGGGATGAGCAAGAGGGGCACCTGTCCTGGGCACCAAGTTAGTTGGAGTGTTGGAATCGTTCCTCGTTCCCTCCAGAGTCAGTGCCCTTTGCCATGCCAGGAACTTCAAAACCAGTTCCCAGCTGCTGTTGCTTTAAGAGCAACAGAGCTAGGGCAGGCAGACTATGCATGGGCAGCACCTTGGCTGGGACTGTTCCCAGTGTTTAAGGCTGCTGCCTGCCATGTCAGCCCTGGCTCTCTGAACCTGTGCCCCTTCATGCCTCCCACTCTCCAAACCCATGTGCCCCTTGCCCTTGGACCCATGTGCCCTCTTCACCCCAATGCTCTTAGCCACATACACCCTCTCCTTCCTACCACCTCCACTCTCCCACAGGCTTTGCCCTGGGCACCAATTTGGCTTGTTCCACTACTGACTGTCTCTTTCTTTTTTGCCATTCAAAAAAACAGAGCATCTCCTAAACCTACTTGCTAGCATATGGCAGCAAACCAGATTCTAGTTTTAGCTTGGCACTTGCATCTAAGATACAGGGAAAATGCTTTGGCCCGGGTTAGGGTCTCTGCTTTTATAAGTGTGAAAGCATAGCCAAAGTCCAAACAAATGTGGTCAGCTTGTATTGTCTGCCTTAATTCTAGGAGTTGCTGTGATGTTACTAATACCTTGACAATCTTTAACTTAAAATTAGAGTTTGCACTTTAGCTTTATGTATCTTCGCCTCATTCTGCTTTGCATTTTTGTAACAAATGCTTTACATAAGTCATTTGGTGTTTCATATACACTGAGAGAGTCTGGCTCATTGTGGCTGGCACGGAGGTGAAAATGACATCTCCTCTGGCACCTTGGATCCCTGTATCCCTGTGGGGAATTCACCTGGAGGAGGGAAGCTGAGCGAGTGGCTTGAACTGTCATCAGACTCGACATATGGCAATGATGCTTGCTCTGTGGATATACTGAGTACCATACGTTTCACTCCTTCTAGCCCTATCATCCCTTTACAGCCAACAACCCCCACTGTGCTAGTTCCATGCTTCCCAGCAGGAGGAAAATGTGTAGCTATTTGCTAATATTTCATCTACCTTGATAGAGTTTCTGGACCCATGGCTATGCAAACAGTAGCCTGTGTGGCTCAGAAACAGCCCAGAATATAAAGTTAAGGTCATCATTTTGAAAAGTGGCTGCTAACTTTGAGTGCCTGAATTTTTCAGGGTGCCCTATATCAGCAGCTTTTATTGACTTCATTGTTTGCAATAATGGATCCTCAGTATTTTGGAAATGAGGGGGTCTGGATTTCTCAAATGGGGCAACCAAAAGTCAAGATACCCATTTCACTTCTGGCAACTTGCACAGCAGGAAAAAACGTAGAAAACTATCCTGGATTGAGTTGTACCCAGTTGAGCAACATGTAAAAAGAGGTTCCAATTTACATTTGGGCAGGAAAATTCATTTTAATAACTTTTAAGCGAGAAAAAATAGTTTCTGTTTTAATTACATTTGCTGCAGAGCAGCCTAGCAGAGTGCTTGCATTGTATTCATAAAAGAATCGCAGTAAATCTATTCCCCTGCCTCTCTGGACACAGAGTGAAAAGTGTAGTTGATCTGAAAAGAGCCCTGATTCAATTGTTAATTCCCTAGTGATTATAACAAAAGCTAACAGCAGTGACACAGAAGGCACTACAGTCATTATAGAGTAGTAGGAAGAGCTGCATTAGCATCTTTTGAAACATGGTTCCAGAGGGCACGAAAGAGGGATGGACCAAGAACAGGGAAGTACAGCTGTGTAAATGAGTCTTCAGATGTTGTTTGTTTGGTTTTTTGTTTTTGAAAGGGGAAGAGGGCAGATGTGGCTTCATTCTGTTAACTGCTCTTTATCTTTGGCATAAAGATACAAGATACAGGACTAGCTGCAGACATTTATAACTTTCCTGATTAGTGTCTCCCTGCAGCTTCCCTTAATCGCACCTTTGCTATTCAAGTGAATGCTTTACTTTCTTCCTGTTCTTAAGCTGTAGATTGTTTTATTGAAGCTATAATAAGCCTGTTGATCTAGAGGTCAGGGCTGCTGCTAGCAGAGACAGGCAGTAACCAAGGTGAATTTGACCTCTGCAAAGGAAAAGCAAGTTATTAGTATCCATCTGCTCAGCAGTGTCAAGAATGGAGAATTGGATTTCTGAGCAGCTGAAGTCCCAGCCCTATGAAATACCACAGACAGTTGCAGGGAGCTCAAGCTGTACAAAGAGAGCACTGTGAATGTGGGAACTGGGGTGCAGTGGCCCATAATTACAGTAGGATTGTGCAGTTCAGCTTCAATAGATTGTGAGGAGGTACTGCAGGAACTCAGCAAAAGCAGCTGAAAAAGTACTGAATGATTAGGATGGTGAACCACAGCAGTCTAAATAGCTAAAGAAATTAATATAAAATTAATCAGATGCAGCTCGTACCTTGAAACAAAATTTGTAATTGCTCACAACTCTAATAAGCCTTTCTT